ATCAACAGCACACACAAAATGACACGAATTGCAAAATCTGAAAAGAAGACAAAAAAGCAGCTCAGAGATTTTTCGTTCTGTATATGCTTCAATCCGTGCTTGAAAATTGCAGCACGAGGTGTTAATTTTTCGGGACGTGTGCGTACACTATCACAGAAGAAACATCACCTTTAATACGTTTCAAAAAATAAGAAGAATGGTACCAACATTTTGTTCCTTGATAAAAGCAGAATTATATCGAAGAAAGAATATCCAAATGTTTAAAAATCAAGAATATACTCACTCATGATTATTTTATTCTCAAAAATTAAATTGCAAATAACATAAATTGTGCCGCATTTTTCAAGTTTGTATCACCGAGAAGAAATTTGTCCCTTATCTTAGGAAAACAAGTGTAACTTTTTTTTTACAAATCTTATTATGATACATTCTGATTCTTCGTGTATGTTAAAATCATCCTCATTCATTTAATCAAACATCAATTATTTTGAACTTTACCTGTGAGGTTGTATATTTTTCCGGATAATTCATTATGTGTTGATAGATAGATCAGAGTAATCAACTAGTAAGTCAAATAGATCTTTTTATTGAACATAACGTACTAACTGTGATTGCGATCTATATTTCTGTATACATATCTTCAATTGTATTATATTTTGAATTATTTCTATATCATTTAGTAAAATTTAACTATAATTTGAAGCAATAAAGAAGAAGAGAAAATTGGAAGGGGTTCATATTTTATTCTACGTATTAACTTCTATAAAAGATCACCAAAAAAATCTAATCAAATTTGACAAATAATTTAATATTATTACACGTAATTAAAAAATCAAAAAACATAATAAAAAAATTTTGAAAATTTAACATCAATAATACAATTTCATTTCTAATAATCAAATCATTAATAATTTATACAATTTTTCTTTGCATCACCGCCCGCTTGCATGCAATCTATTTACTCGGCCGCATCACGGATCCGACGTCCTGGAAAAATATGAGGATGTTTTACAAAAAATTGGCATCAATAGCTATGATGAGTTCACAAGTTGTCACCGATCGAGGCAAAAATATGCACTTTGCAGATGACATTCCCAGTCTCTATGATTGGATACCGTGTTGTGATCACATCATTGATACCATGCTAACGACAATTATTGACAAGAGTATTGGTATGGTCGAAGGTAAGAAATCCGCTCCCTTCTATGAGTTTTACTAGCTAGCTTTTGAGTTGTTTAATACTATTGATCAAGTCAAAGCTCTCGTGACATACGTCAAACAAGCGACTCTTCAAGATGAGATTGCAAAGAACCTTAAACAAAAAATGCGACGCGATGTAATTCTGCCCTCCTTTGCATGATTAGCGTTGACTAGGCACTACCGGAGTTGAACGAGATATTACGTGCACGAGATCGTGGATTGGTTTCTAAGGTCACGAAGATTGATCACGAGCTTCTCAAGGAGTTCATTGCTTTTTTAGTGAACTTTTAGGAGACCACTCTAGCTCTAGAGGTGTTTGCGGAGCCTACGCTACACCATATACTTTATTTTTTACAGAATCTACTAAAACATTGCTAGATTGTTAACGCGGTTATCATCATCAAGGAGGAAGATGACACGATAATCACATTGAAGAATGATTCTCCCGAATTCTTCACCTTGAAGCCAAAATTTGCGGAACTGATCAGGGAGAAGTTCATTTGAAGTGACATTCATGTCATTGCCGTCCTACTCAATCCTAAAATCAAGTGTCGTTTCGACAAGTTCGACATCGACTCCGCCGATATTGAGCTTGGAAAAAAAATTCTAGAATATTATGATGAAAAATCATATGATTGGCTCTGACATCGGCAAGGATAGTGTGTGCTTCCAGAAGAAAAAGAAACAAGATAATCTATGTGACACGTCGTCTTGCCAACTATAGTTCTGAGAGTGACAGCGCCATCCACAAAATACCTTTTGTTGATGAAATGCAATTTCATTTTTCTTTGATGACAGAACTCAACAACTATATTCGTCACAAGTGTAGCGATAATGAAAACACACTTTTATCCAAATACGGAATTTTATTTTGGTGAAAGATCTATCAAAACAAAATTTCTCTACTTTCTCGACTCGCCCGTTCTTTGTTGGCCATTCCAGCATCTAGCGTAAAATCTGGGGGGTAACTTTTTGGACGTAGGGAACACGATGAGCAAAAAATGCAACCAGTTGCATCCTTTCAAGCTCAACGACCTCATGTTTTTGCGCTCAATGCCACTGTCTAGGTTAATGTTCCACCAAAAACTGAAAGCTAAATAATAAACGGATGGTTTTTTTCCATCTATTCAGTTTCAAGTCAGAAATCACCTCTTGACTTGGGTGTGTGTAGGGTATCGGTTTTGTCTCTTCAGATATGGGTCGTGTATGGATACCACAAGCGTAGAATACGTGAGCATGGATCGGGTTCAAGTATGATTTTTAGGTGTGATGCAGGTCTCGGCTCATATGTAGAGTTAATGTAATTGTTATTCCACTATATTTTCATTTTTTAGGTACATTCAAAATAGTAATACAATGTATCTTAAACTTAAACAATGAAATTATTTTGGAACATAGAATAGCACGATTAGATTTACAATCAATCTTTGAAAATTCAATTTTCATAATAGAATTCTCTTATAAAGAATATGTATAATACCTGTTTTATTTTGATATCAATCTTCTGATTAAAAAGAAAATTTAATATATGCCGATTGTTATAATGAAGAGTTATAGCATTGTGATTTAATTTTAGTCCAATAAAAAAATCATAATATCATTTCAATATAAAATTATTATATAGATTAAAAAATCAAGAAATGAATCATTATCTTGTTCATCTAACTTTTCAGAATCTACTAAATGTGATTTTTTAAGAAATTCATAATAATACCTTTGAAATTGTTCAACATTGTAATTATCAGTTGAGATCAAAATTCACATAAAAATGCAACTAAACTAAGTGTATTGAGTTGGACAAGAAGATAATTATATGATTATGCAGTTTCAAGTTTTTTCAAATGTCATATTCAAACTAAAATTTGATGCTTCATAGTAGTGTTTGTAAATGATGATATTACTTGTGAATCTTTTTTGTGTGTAAAAGTCTCAATCCGACCTTACCGAAAATGAGTTATTGTAATTTTAGAAATTATCAATTTAAATTGCAACATGCACATAAGCAATGTGCTCACCAAAAAAAACTTTGTCAAAAAACTATGAATTTTGAATGAAAAAAATTGTTTGGTGATCAGTGATGAATGTTATCTTTTCTTGATAGCAAACTTCAACTCTTGGCCAGCACATTGATTTCAAGCCAATTTCAAGATGTCTTTGTTTTCATAAAGATTTGACAATGTTCTAAATCATCACTCCAAAAAGTAAATTGCTAGAATCTTCATTAAATAGAAGTTTATTCTTTCCATCTTTGGCACAATTTATTAAATCTTGTGATTGTGTTCATCAAATTGATCAATACTGTCATATTACAATGTCAAATACAAATTATATACTTCACTATTGATACTTCGTGTATAATCAAAATTGATGTTTGATTTTGCGATGGCTTTGCTATATTGCTTAATATAACACATCAAGATGCGTATATAGATTCACTCAAGTTAAATCTTTGAGCTTACTGGAATGCCTTTAGTGTTTGAAGCTCATTGCCTAAGTTTTGATTTACGATTAAAAAATTATCAAATTCTCTTGATTTTATATTCATTCATGCTTTGAAGAATATTTGGGTTAGCTCACATTAGGTAGGTATCCAAGATAAGATTTGAATCTTCCTTAAGGTTGATGCTTGTTCGTTTCGCTTCAAAACATCCTACTTGTAAAGTTTAATATTCAATTGTGCATTCATCGATGCTTGCATGAGCTTGTCTCGTGAATCATTTGCTTCATCAGATGCTTGTAGGTGACAATCTATAAACATAAAACCTAGCAAAGTATTGGTATCAATACTTTGTTAGGTCCAACACAAAATTTTACTCATGAACAAGCATCTAACAATGTATGTAAACACAAAAATGTGTGGTTAATCTTTCATCGGACGAAACTCAATGTGTCACACTATATGCCAATACTCTTATATTGCAGTTTATAACTTAGTCTAGCTGAGCAAAGTCAAATTTGATAAAATTGTCAAGTCTGATATAACTTCTATCAGTTAAATAAAGTTTACATCAAAACAGTAATGAAATGAAAAAATATGCATTAAAAGATTATGACGAAAATTTACTTTATCATTTAAGTACACTCGATTTTTCTCATTTGAAGTACATTTGTATACATGCACAATGAGTTTAATATTTTATAAAATGGGACAAAATTCCAAAATTAAATTATACCCGAAGCGAAAAGCTAAAAATTAAAACTCATCGCAAATCCTCTATTTTTCTTGATGTTGAGATTATTAAGACATGACGTATCAAATCTGAATATGATGATACACAGGGCTGAATTGAATATACTTTTCATGATAAGTTGGTAGATACAGTTCTCAATTCAAAGTTTAAGCTTTTTTTTATTATGTAAGTCCAATGTCTCTCCGTGTGCTTTGTTAAATAGCTACTGTAAGAAATCTACTATTCTGTCTCTCATGGATATGAAGGTTATTCAGAATTCATTCGTTCTTAATTTTCATACATCAAATACATGTGAAGCCGAAGTTGTTGACAGCGGAGATCAATTGTAATTGTGACTATCATCACGATTTTGAGTATATTAATTTTTAAAAGAGTCTTATTGAGTTTCTTCATATTGGGCTCATGTTTATTTGTAGGTCATTCGAGTCTATGAGTAGTTAGAATATATATAATGTTTTTCATGTTTGAAGACATGATATAATAACTTATCAAGTTATTGAAACAAAACACATGTTACTGTACTCTTCTTCACTTGCTTGGCACAGTATCAAGTTGACCAATATGCTTTAAGCAAATGATTGAGCTGCTTCAAACGTGAAACAGTTGGGGTTGAAACTTCATTTAACTGATGATGACTTGGAAGGTCTGAATAAGTTGAAATTGTAAAAGGCATAAAATAAGTAAACACACCCTCCTTGTATACAAGGCGAATGAGTTGATGTATGAAGCCAAAAAAATCCCAATAATTCTTCAAGAAACTGTAAATCCTAGAGTTCAAAACTTGGCTGCTCAGACCATACATCCAACTCTATCTAGGACAAGCAGTGTATGACCAGACCTACCCTAAGACGCATGGTACTCCTGGTCTCGTGAAGGCTGGTCCTATTGGTAGGTGAACGGAAAGGCGATAGCAGAAATTAACAAAATGACAATAAAGTTTTGTGGGCTGTACCCAAGCGCATTTATGATGTTCCATCTGATACAAGACGGAGGCAACACACATATATTACTGAGCGGAAAAAAAGAGTGCAAGGGAATAGGAGAAGGCGACGAGAAAGTCTCCGCCCATAGATTTGCGAGGAAATGCGATCCAGCGCGCCTATGGGAGTCACGGAGAAAGATAGGAACTCTAACATAATGTCGTCAGCAGACTATGTTCGACATTCTTATAGAAGGGATTCCCTCGTCTTCCTATTGGGGCCTAGCCCCATGCTACCCGTTTGCTTCCATCCCTGACGACTAGATTGGGTGTTGCCATCCTTTTTGCTTTATTACTCGGCGCTCGTTGTTCTTTCTTCTCTTTTCTATCTTTCATCTGTTTCCAGCTTTCTGTCTGCCAAAACCAATTTTAGGTGGAAAGTGCTCCCAAAACGGCTCTGCTCTGCTCAGCATCAGTCCCCTCTTTGCCGTCCTCGCCAGGAGAGAATAAACCTGCAGAAAGAGCAACCTCATACACAGGCATATGACGTCTTGACGGTACCATGCTCCTCCACCTGGTGCCTGCCGTAAGTGTCCGTGGGCAAATCAGAATCACTCTGATGAAGCGTTTTTATGTGTGCCTGCGGGAAAGTCTGGAGGGTACTTGCAGGAGCAGAATGTGTTTGGAACCATGTATTTCGGCCCGAGAGACATGGGTTTCTGATTGGGTTTAGTGGTACAGTAGGAGTACTTTGATCGCTTCATAACCAATCTTGCCTGGTTGCTTACTTGACTGGTCGTTGAACGTGATTCTGCTGCAACTTGCTGTGGACTCCTCCATCCACTTCAAGACTGCTGTGACAATTCGACTCATTGGAAAATGGGCTAAAGTAGGCGCTTCCATAGAGGCTCGCTGCAAGAAGCCGCTGTATGCTGGTTTTCAGTTGCTGACTTGAACACACTTGTACCGAAACTTGTCTTGGGATCTGGGCTTGCAATCTGGCATCCTGATGATCAGCTGCCGAAGTCTGTAGCACTCATACACTTCGCTGCTTCAGAAATACTCGTGCCCCGAATTTGAATCGACAAAAAGATCTTTGTGCAGTAGATTACTTTACTCGAAGATAAAGTCAATTTTAAAAGCAAAGAGCTTACTTTTGGCCGTGAAGCGTTCGCTTGTGACTGAGCATGCCTCTAAGCGGCACAAAACGGGTGTCAGCACACTACAGCCTTTTGTGAAGATTTACCGTCTGCTTGTAGGCTTGAAGAAGGTCTACGTGAACTGCAGTCAATCATTAGATGAGAGGTCGTTGGGAAGACCTTGAGAAAGTTTGCTCTGGTCTGTCTCATTATCTCCTGTAGCCCAAGTAATCTGACCAGGTGTGATGCCTGGTAACCTCCGATCCTGAGACGCTACAAATCTAATAAAAAGGTCACATACTTTTGCTCCTTGAGTGGTCACGGTATCCTCCAAGTAGACTGATCTGGACCGTGACTCCATAAGCAGACGGTCCATTCGGTCGTCGATAGTGTAAATTGTCTTCATGAAGATAACTCATCGCGCCAATAAACGACCCTTTTCCCATCCCGCGCAGTTGTCAGCTTTGCTCATTTGAACCTTGAGTATCACTCTCATAGGTTAGGCAAGAATGTCAACGCCTGCAATCATGACAGACTTTCGTATTCCGAATGATGGACGATGGAACCAGCGGAATACCTTAACCGATCAATTGTTTACGAATATGTTGCGCCTTCCTCCTGACACGATTGATCTCGCGTACAATATGGACACCGCGGTAGAAAAAGGCCAAGTTACTGCGATTTGCATTTGCTCTACTAACCAAAGCTGGACGACAGTCAGGATGTAGGTCTCCGTGATTGAGTGCCAGCCGCCACTCTGGGGTGCTGAAAAGAAATGGATGCGAAGGATGAAGCTGCAAAATTGGGATTCCCGAGTATGTGCGACTATCCGCTGTGCAGTCGGACACTGGATATATTCTTTTGGTTGCAATTGATACACCTCCATCCTCTTATTGATACTTCACATACCTAGTCCTTACTTGGACTTCAGTTCACACGTGTTTTCCAAGCTCCGACTTGTTCAGGATACGCCACATCGTCAATATCCAAGTGGTACAAAAGTCTGCTGACACTGTTTCAAAAAAGCTAATGACTTCTTGATACATCTTCCACGAGCTACGCGAGGTCCTGGCTTTGGCATCGCATACAGCAGTAACCGCACATTTGAGGTAAACAAACTCGTCCTCTAGCGATGGACCTGTTACCTGCGTTGTTGCTTGAGCACAATCTTCAAATCTTTCGCGCGTGAAAGTGTACATATATAAGGACAAGACTAGCTGTAATCTCAAAAGGGGGAAGCCGAGCCTACATGACCGTGACAACCAATCAGATCCTCCGTTGAGAGATGCGGAGTTAGAAATTCAGGAAATAGGAACCTTCAACTAATAGTTGTTGCAAGCTTTAGACGCAATGTCAAGAAGAAACACAAAGGAAGATTAACTGACATGTACATATTAACATGCAAACCCCATGATGGACAACGATGAGACGTCCTGAAGAAGTTATTCGCGCTGACCTCGGCCTCGTTCCAAGAGGTTCTACGTTCGAAAGGAGTGACTAGAATATGTGAAACTTGTCATCCGCAGGAAAGTTCCACGCTTCTCTATCATCACATTCACGTTTTTTTAGAAGTACAAAAACCGTACACTGAGCAGGTGACTCGAAAGTATACCTGGGGCTGTGTCGCAGATAAGCTTATGTAAACATCGAGCAAACCTGAGTTTCCTGATAAATGGAATTCCTCCAACGAGTTAAGTTCGAAGCGTTGACTACAAATCAGGCTGGCACACAGCTTCAAATCAGGCTACCAGGGAATTTGAAGAGGTTAGCGGCATGTGGTCCTTCCTCTTCACGCTGACTAACTGCAAGGAAGCACTCCACGCATCCCATACCAACTCCACTGAAGTCATCTGTCGGCGATTATTCTGTACGGCTGGGGCGTTTAGAGACACGGATGTAGGCACTTCACCCGTTTACTACGAACTTTGACCGAATATGTTTCTTTCCCCTCTTGGACCAAACAGGATGGGTAATCAACCTTAATCTCACCTTCCGAGGCTGATTCAGAAGTCCTTCATAACTTCTCCTCCTGTTGTTGGCAGCAAAACAGGAACATTGGGTACTCCAAAGTACAAGTGGTGGCTCTCGAGCAACTTCGCTGATAACAACCTCAGGTTATGAATACAAGTTCTTTAGATCTTCGAGCTTGAAGGAACTACCTGTCCAGGAAATATGCGTGAAAAGCTAGAATCCTGTATGCAATGTATGTGGCAGCGGGATATCCCAATTTTACAAAGCCATAGGTTCACACTACATAAATCCAGCAACTTAAACCACCACCTTTTCTGTCCACATGCCACGTAACAGAAGTATCTTGAAGCTGCGGACGAAGGCTATCAGGAAGTAAGTTTAAGGTCACTGTAACTGCAAGCGAAGCTATGCCATCCAGCCACATTCAAACCAATCACCCCATGAATGGCAAGAACGCGCGAGGGATAGTTTTGCATGACAACCGATGACATATTCATGCACATGGATGTGAAGAAGATGTCGCCAGAGAAATTTCTGAAGGCAGGAACCCAGCATGTAAGCTGCCATTAAGGAAGTATTTTTGACAAAACAAAGGGAACGTGTACTAAACCAACTTCGTGCTCTGCCTTGATAGCCACAGTGCAAAATTACCTCCAAGCTTACGATAATTCGATACCTCTTTTACTGGCAGGTATTCTCTGCAACCGCCACCAGTCGAGAACAAGGTTGCGTGCTTTGTTGACATAAATCCCGATACAACTCCCTCAATCTTCACTCCACAGCTTGATCCCATTTGTTGGTAAAGTAGACGTGATATCCTTCTCGACAAACATCAAGTATGCCTTTTGCCCATAAACTTCCTTAAAAATCTCTTCGGAAAATTATTGAATCGACACCACTTACAATTTCGCACAACTGCATATATCCTAAGAGCTAAGTCTGCTGTTTGGTCCACCAGTTCAAAGCAGAAGTTCATATATACTTTGAGATATGCACCATCCTGAAAACCCTCTTGTTCTCACCGTTGCAAGAAAAAGCTTGTACATTATAAGAACTTCGACTCGTATCCTAAGGATTCACAAAGTCAGCTTTGAGTTGAAAGAATACTTAACTCGTGCCGTTGTCATGGATTTTCAAGAAGTGACGTTCAAACCCTGGATCAACGAGTCCGACTTTCCTTTCTCAACAACCTATTCGTTTCTGGACCTCCGACGTCTATATTCATGGCATTGAACACTGATGCACATTATGCTACATCTCACAGCAGAATACCGAGTCGGAGCCCTCATTTCATCGGTATCAATCAGCCAAGAACTAGTTTCTTAGAAGAAGGGGTTGTACTTGAACGAGACAATAGAAGCTCAAGATAGAAACTTGAGCCTTTTCTTAACATTACTAAATACATGGAGCCCGTAAAAACTTCTTTCCTAACCATTCCAACCACAGATGACAAGCTGTAGGGGTGAACTTTGATAACAGGCTCTTCGTGTCGCAAACATAATCACGTTTCCCGGTTGATACCCCGCATTTGGAGATAAGAAGTCATGAATAAACAATTTCTCCTAAACAAGACCTAAAATGCACTGAGTGTACAGAAAAGGCTACAGACCCAGCAGAAATATTGTCCTGAAAAATAACTGCGAAAGCCAGTGATCTTTAAACTCTAGCAGAAACTTTTGAAAACCAATAAGTGGCAGTAGAAAAATTTAGTACGTGGTTTTCAACCAAACTTTTCTTCCGACAGGCCTTCGATGAGAGATATGACGCAATTGGAAGAATTAGTGACTGCCCCAAAGCGGTATAATAATAGACACCTAAACAGGCATCAAAGGCGTGAAACTAATTTGGCAACGAACTTGCGAGTGGATTGCCAGTATTCATGACAAAAAGCTACAATCCACGTCTTCAGAGTAGTGTTCTGCAGTAACGTGAACTGGCAAGTTGCTAACCGGTGATAAAACAATATGAAGCGGCCAGATAACTTCACAGAAGTATAGTTAACTACAACGCCCTCTAGTCCAGACTGTGACGGTAGGAGGGACTAGACGCATGGTGTGAATCGACAAGCACACCAAACAGTGGTAAGGTTCGCAAAGCTTGAAAATATTCATGCGGGTCCTATATCAGGACTATTTTGAGTCTAGCTCAGATCAGATATCAATGATGCCTGATCCATACAGAACTATGTCTCCGTGTAACAAATAAAGCGTCACCTTCTTAGGCATCTCATCAGCAAAAGCGAAGCAACTACAACGAGAACTACCCTCTTAACTTATGATAGATTGTAATTGGAGCCAAGAAAGTCCTACGTCTTCATTTTTTATAACAAGTAGCAAACCACCTATCACAGGCTGAAGAGGACAGGGTCTTGTCACATGTCCTGTAATCTAACAGTAAGTAAGACCAACAGGAACGATAATCGACGCTTCCAAAACAATGAGTTCACCTTGATCTAGCAGACATTATGCAGACTACAAGGTCATAGACAGGCATATATCATTAACAGGAACTGGTAGTTCTTCTACAGGCAAACCTTATATCATACAACTGAGAGTGCATTTGATCCACAATACACCTAAAATTTGACCCCATGATTTGAATTCATCTGCCCTGTTTTGGGGGTGATACGGCCCACTTTCATTTATGTTCGTAGCCTTCACCACAAACCTCTGGTTACATCTAGATTGCCCCGTGATGCAGGCAGAGAGACTAGTAAGTTCTCTCTACACTGCGAGCAATTTGATTCTAATATGACTCAACTGAAGTTCCTCACCCTCATCTTCCTCAGCAGTAACTTCAACTCTAACGGTAATTTCGTGCAGCCATGAACATGATCAAAAACTCAAGTCGCAACTAGCTTGGCACGCGCTGGTCCTAGCTAATGCAAGTTCTCTGGAATGTGTAGAGTGGATTCTATATATGGTGATCAACAGTACAAAGCAAGCCAGATTGACCTAGTCGGGCTTATATAGCAAGGGACGTTAACTTCAAAAGTTAAGCACTGTACATAGGAAGATACAGTGATCCCCTTGAAGGAAGACGTCCAAATGTTGTCCCCTTGAGGCTTTTAAAATGCAGCCCATAGAGGTGGTAAGTGTGAAACAAAATTTCTCTACAGGTACAAAGAATTGGCGAATACAATACCCCGCCGTATGCTCTCACTCCCTGCGGCAAACTTCTTCTCCAAATCTCCATCTCCTACTGCTTGTGCAGCCCCTCGTAACTAGAACCAAAGATTTTTTGTAAGTGAATCCAGTGGTTTAACTAGAGTATTCCCACCGGTGTGAAGTAATTGGTTTCATTCGTCATGGAAGTCATGGAAACAATTCGGATCTCATATCATGTTTACTTCAATTCGGAGTTCAAGCTTCAGATATAAGAGTAGACAAAAGGGAGACCAAAATCATATAAGGTATATCGTCGGTAATCAAGGCAAGCACCCTCAAAAACTAGAATCATTCCGTACACAAATGTCTTCTCGTATGTGCAAGGTATGTCCAAAACATTCCATCCATTTCAGGTGGCTGTACTCTTACATGTAAGAGTACAGCCACCTTGTACATGCAAGAAAGGTGGAAAGCGAACAACTTATTGATTATATGACATACCTGGTTCAAAAACTCGTCCAGGCGTCGTGCCGCTCTGATGATGCTACCTTCAAATATGTCAGTCATTTCACAGACCTCAGCAAACTTTGCGCCCTGTACGAGGTGGTTGTGTAAGTTAGAGATGAAACTAGAATATGGTTATGGAAAATTAAAACGCGTGTTTCGATTATTGCTCTAGTCCATTGAACCAAAACTTGCAACGTGAGAGGACGTTAAAAAACCAGTAGGTCAAACAACTCAAAAACGATTTGTCAGCCATTTTCATGGACATCACGGAGCTGGGAATATCAGACCGCGTGCTCCTAACCTTGGACCAGCTGTACATGACATCCATCAGGGTGGGCTTAAACGATTCCACATAGCTCTCTACATCAACCTCCAGTTTGCACTCCCGTTGGATCTGATCGACACATGAAAGGAGCAATATTAGCACTTAGGTCATTGGGGGCGACACTTACTTAACTCGCTAGAAGTAAAGCACTATTAGAATACGAACACCTGGTTGATGAGGAGCTGGGAATTGCATCACGTGTTTATTGTCAGGGAGGCGGACTAACACTATCCAATGATGTAAAGAATCTCCTCTGGCATGTATATCTGTCACTACGTTCATCACTCAGAGTACCGCAGTTGACCGACATTACTTACTACAAGGGTTACTACTCTGACCGATCTAGACCCCGCACTAGCGATCAGTCATAATTAGAAGGGCAGGGAAGTGAGCCCAACAGTAGAAATGAAATCTGCAGCACCTACAGGATACTTTAGTGATTGTAAAGGCTAGAAGCATTATTGCAGTAGCAACATTTTTGGCGTCTAAACATAAGTTAGCAACATGCCGTCCCACACATGCTCCTTCATTTTCAATCACTTTTTGGATCCTCACCACAGCATGGCCATAGGTCCATTTCCAGTCGGCCAGCTACAGGAAAGCTCTATATCCGTATAGATGGTTCAGTACTTCATATGCCAAAACTACAAAATTTACCCTGCACATAGTAGCGACGGACATGGATCCTGGACATCTTGACTAGGACGTGAGAAAACAAGCGCACCAATCTAGGAGTGTGATGCAGTGATCAAGTAACGAAATAAATCCGACTGGAGATGTAGAATATAGTTGGAACAATGGACATGTATTATAAGAAACGTGATGTAGTGATCAAGTAACGAAATAAATCCGACTGGAGATGTAAAATACAGTTGGACCAATGGACATGTATTATAAGAAACGGACAATTCTTGGTGATCCTGAATAGAAGTCCTGAAAGACAAGAGTATACCTCGGCAACCATCTTCGCAGTTTCTTGAAGCTTACGGAGAGGCCATGCCAATTCGTTCTTCAAGTGTACCATTTCATTTGACTTGTCCACAGGGAGGAAACAACTTGACACAGCGACGATTTGATGATGGTCCAAATTGTTGAATAGCCCTGCGTGAACGGAACTGATGATGTTAACAACATATCCTGCCTGCAGTTTCTCAGCATTAAAATCACGAGACTAGACACTTTCAGACACCAAAAAAGCTTACCGTTGAACATCAGTTCCGTCACAAGGAGCTCCTCGGCAGTGTCAATGAGACACGCTGCACGTCCTTTCAGTTCTACGACTCCATCTTCATTTATATGTCCCAGACGTTTCAGGACTCTCGATCGATTGCGAAGTTCTTCTCTGAACTTGTGCAACTGTCAAACAACAAACTATCACTCATAAGAATACTAACGTTTGATAGCAGGCCTTCCCACGAATCAAAAATCCTCACAATCGGAGCAACGGCCATCTTTTCCGGTGAAGGAAATCCTTACTAGACTGGTGAAGACACGTTCTTGAAGGTCTGCGATTATGTACCTTTCAAAAAGCAAGGCTCTGTGAGTAGTTCAAGACGAAAGTACAGAAAAACGCACCTGAGAATCACGCATCTTGGCCTTGAGCCTCTGGGCTTCGGCTGAAAGCTCTGCCTTCTTTTGAAAAGCCGAGAAACAACTTAACTCCTTCTCAGACTGAAGATACCAACCATAGGAGGACCGTTAGCTTCAGACTTGCTGTGCGACCATGCTCATACATCCTTATTCCAATGGAGTCACTATGCACTCAATCATATGTCTGGTCAGGCACTTAACGTTTCCTCAATATATATGGAATTTTTAAGAAGTTGAGGCATCCAAGGTTTGACATTTTCGGGCATCAAAGGTAGAGGGCTAGAAATATACATTGAAAAGAGGATGTGCAACCAGCTTCTTCTCTTCTTCCTCAATTTCTTTCACGATCTTCACGAAGTCCTCATCTTGAATGCCCATATCCTGCAAAGAAAGGCAGTTGCATTGAGTGATAGGCTCATTAACGGCTGGAGACTTGATCCTTTGTTGTTCGACATATCCTTGCCTAGAAGTTTAAGCACTAATCGGCGCATGGTGTCATCAAAATTTATCAGTCCTAAAAGTTTGGGTTTGCCTAAACTAACTGATACTGGCGGCTGATTGACTTACATTACCAAAGCGAATTGCAAACTCAATTCAAGAATCCAAATCACATCAAGAAGCAGACTGGAAAAAGAATCTCATTAGCCTCACAATTATCACACAATCAGGAAATATAGATCAAGTTCAAGATATACTTACAGCGATTGGATCCAATTTGGGCAACCCATCTGGGAAGCGTCTCTCAAGCTCCTGAACAGCAAGAAGAATGCTCTGTCGGGCATCTGCAGGTCTTAAATCTCCTGGCACTGCGACTCGAAGAGCGCTAATTCCACAGATGAGCGGCATTTGAACCGGTACCTGGAAGCACCAAAACACACGTAGAATGAAGAAGACGTCGAACAAAGATCTTACACAGCATCATCCAGTAAATCTTGAAAATGAGATAGAGCAGCGGCGTCTTATACTTGTAAAGAGGTCAATAAATGCAGTTTGAAATTCAGACGTTGACAAGCCAATTTGACCACTTGGACATAACAGCTGCGTGCTTACCACATGCATCTCTCCCTTTGCTCCAGGAGGACAAGGTCGAGGCTTTGGTCGAGAACCTTCTTGTATCAAACCGAGTCCGCAGTGCAACAGTGTATCTACGATGTAAAAGGCTGAGGTCGGTGCAGTCAACACTGCAGAGGGTACAGTATTATGAGAAACAGGAGGCTTCTTCACAACATTTACAACCACACCCCAACCCCATTCTTCTCCTCCATCTCGTACTTTCACCTGTATTCAAGCTCATCTCATAAGTTCTTGAAACTATGTTCGGTAATCAGACCTAATCTTTTCTTCTCGACTTTCGTTTGATCCTCGACACATGACGAAGCACCATAATGATTACCGTTCTTTTCAGTCGTCTATTCAACATGTCTAATTCAATTTATTTTAATTCAGCATTACAGCAGGCACAAACAAGAGAAAAGTCCAAGTTGACGATCAACTACGTACCAAGCGTCCCGGCTGCAAGAACATAAGAGCACGCTCAGGTAAAAGCACCTCGGCCATTAGCTTTTTCTCTAGTTGCGCCAAGTTCAGCCTTAGCCTGTGGTATTCTACCATGGATTCCTGCACGGTAGCGAGTCAGACTTTAAAACATCGTCGCATATTTTTTCTCTACAATTTCTAAATATTGATGAAGACGTAGAAGATCTGACAGTTTGTTAGGAGCAAGTTAACTAGGTTGGAAGCTTGAATGCCAACAGGCAAGGAAGGACTTTGTTGTCAATAAAAGGCCAGTCTACTTTTATTAGATAAATAAAGCAATGTTGATTCAACAACTCTATCTATCGAATCCTTCGTCAGATTCTGTGTCGACTCTCACCATTGCATTGCTCTATTTATCTAATAACTTTCATACGCTAAGCTGTTTCGTCTGAATATCGCCGAAATGAGTCCTTCAGTATTGGCGAGCCACAGGGGGAAAAAAGTTTCACGCATAATACCGATTGATCTTACTCCAGTTGGGAAGATACTTCATATACAAAAAACGAGGGTGAGGAAAAGTTAAATACCTCGCCAGTTGCTTCTATTTCGGCAGCTTCCTTCTCTAGCTTGGAAATTAGGGCTTCTACTTCCGGCAAAGCCTGAAAGGAGCACGACGTTATATTGCGTATAATATGGGTGTTTTGTCCAGAGAAAATACAATACCTGGTTTAAGTGTGATGTATAATTTTCAGCAAACTAAGCTTGGAGTATTCTTATTCTAACTTGTTCCCTTTCTCTTTCTACAGCATGCATTTAACTTCATATTAGCCCCTTAACAGGACTGCCTGGCTGCATTTGAGGAGCATGTACTGGTAACTCTTGGACGTTTGGATTGTCACTGGAGCATTAACTTGACCTACCTTCTCATGCTGAAACTGGTGGAAGGAATTTTTTAACACATGCTCGGCATTAAACTGTCCTTCTGCACGACTCATCAAGTTGAGGAGAGTATAATAACTCAATCTAAATGTGCTGACAAGAGGTGCAGGCTTTCCGGTTATCATTTCCTTGCATGTGTCCATTTTCATCTTCATCCAGCCAAGAAAAAATGTTAAGAGATTTACAATATCAGCCACTTACCCAATCCACAGTTATAATTTTGGTCAACAAGCTCAAATACTTCAGTAGTATGAGATCTCTTTGTCCGAAGGGAGCTTGAAAAGGCTTTTGTAAGCAACTTCTCAAGTATGCACTAGAATACATTGAAAGCCATCGCACGAAACTCGAAAGTTGACGCTAACCAACTTGAAAACCAAAAGGAAGAGAGTTACCTGTTCATCAAGCATAATGATGCAAATTCCCTTGTCATCCTTCCCTCGTCGGCCTGCCCTCCCGCTCATCTAAGGACACAGATAATAAATCAGGAATTTCGAAGTTTGGGAGAAAAGACAACAAATTTCTAGTACAAGCGAAGGCAAGCACTTTGCAGATGGCAGAAAGAACACTCGAAAGTACTAGGACCATCCTATAAAACAAAAATAAAATGTTGGGTATCTGTGCGACAACCGTCCCGTCCAAACGAGAATATTACTTGATGGGACCCCTCCGGAACGCAAAACACTTGCGGAGACCTTAACCGATGGGACCCCTCCGACGGCCCTTTGGCCCATCGTCACTCATGTTCCCATACGAGTTTTTGTGACGTGTGTGTGATTTCAAAAGTGCCGTTCATAGCGTGAACAGAGTGACAGTTTTAGTTGGGAATGTTAGCAAAAGGCCATTAAGTTGAGGAGGTTTGGAGAGTTGATATGTGGCGAGTTGATCATTCTAGTTTACCGTATTAGCTCCCTAGTACCCTCTGGCAATGTTGCATGAACCGAGAGCATGAAATTTGCGAATATCACTTCTGGCATCTCGAGTTGACTCGTTGTTGCGACACAAGTGGCTGCAGTCGATTGTACTTTTCCCGACCCATCGTATCATAATCTATCGTTGAGTGCGGGAATCGATTTGAAAAACATGGATGCTGGACCCGTGAGCAAAGCATTTACAAGAACTCGCATTACAAGAACTCGCAGGTGACGGCGAGCTGCAGGGTCGTCGGGGGTCCCATCGTATAAAGTGAATCGTCTGGGGTCTCCGCAAGTGTTTTGCGTTCCGGAGGGGTCCCATGAAGACCCCCGACGACAGACAAACTTGTTTTAACGAAGAATCCTCACTAGCTTTAAGTCAGAACTCCACAAGCCACTTGCCATATATGCCAGTGAATCCAGATGAACAAAAGCTAAGAAGACGCTCAAGTCTGTATTTTTCTTTACCGAAATCAATAAATAACTAATCAAAATATATGCATAAACGTATAAATTGCACAAAATACCTGAATATACTCTCCCGAAGACATCCAGCGATGACTATCTCCATCCCACTTTCGCACAGCTGTAAATACGACGGTCCTGGCAGGCATGTTCAACCCCATGGCAAACTGTGGCATAAAAACCAAGTTTCAGGAAGACAGTTTTGGTCCGCATTAAGGTCTAGCTTAAGACTGGTCAAGCTTACTTGTGAGCTCAGAGTCTCAAAAACAGATTTGCTAACAAGTTTCGAATCTTGAAATGACGATAGATCAGATCGTTGACAAAAAACGTAAAAATGGGAACAAGTGGCAAAATTGGGCGCTTCAACACTTTCTGTCAACTGACCAAAGTACGACGTTTATTTGCTGTTTCTGGGAGGGGATAATGAAGATATTCTACAGGCGGCAAAGCCAAAATATAAAGAAGTACACTTTCATCGAAAATACAGCGACTCCACTAGACCTGGAAAATGATTCCTAAGTAAAGGGCAGATGCAACTGAACACACCGTTTCTGTCGCAAATAAAGCCTTTATAAGGCCTTCTTGAAAAAGTATCTCTATAACCTCCTTCAGTATGGGCAGTAGCCCTGAGTGATGCACTCCTATTCCTCTCTGCAAAATTGGTAGAATATGACCAATTGCAGGTAGGTTGCGATCCTCTTCAGCAAGAACCTGAATTGCATTGTTAAATACTTCTTGTACAACGGCCTTCTCTTCGTCCGTGTTAAAGTCAAGCCTTGGCATTGATGTAGCATATTGTTCACATTCACGACGACTGAAGCTGAATACTATCACGGGCTGGAACTTCTTCTCCATAATCATCTGTCATTCAGAAAAAGGGTGGAATTAGTTCAGGAGAAACGTCAAAGCCTCTTCATTTACCATTTTACCATTTACCATTCTTCACCGACAATACCAGATGTTTACAGAAGTTCATACACCCGGAACATTTTTCGCTGCCTAGATGGACATGAACAGAAAATTAGATGTTGACGAGAAGTATCTCGTTACAAATCATTCTGTAGTGCTCCATGTTCTGTTTGTAAGTTACAAAGTAACCAAGTTTGTGGTTCCAATATAAGCACCTTCACAATTTTGTAGATATCTGGTGGTCCTTGTACAGCACCCCTTCCTCCTCTGCCACCGCCTCTGCCACCTCTGCCACCTCTACCCCTACCCCTACCCCCACCTGGTGGGCTCATGCCGTCCTCGGCACGTCCTTCTTTCGGAAATGTATCGGTAAGTTTGTTGAAATGATCCTCTCGAAATTGCCCCTTCTCGTCGACTATCAGATATAATCCGCTGCCCCCCATGGGGAATGCGTAATGCTGAAGAGGGGTCGGACGGTAATCAGTGTACACCACGTGACAAGGCTCATGGTGTAAGTGGCAAATCCACTCGGCAAATTCCTTCGCATTTGACATAGTGGCGGAAAGAAAGACCATCTTAACTTCATTCGGGAGAAAAATTATGCTCTCTTCCCACACGACTCCTCTCTCCCGATCCCGCATATAGTGAATTTCGTCAAATACCACCCAAGCGACCTCCCGGAGTACTTCCGAGCCTCTGTAAAGCATTCCTCGTAAGATTTCGGTTGTCATCACGATACACGTTGCATTGGGTGCTATCGTCACGTCACCTGTCATCAGTCCGACATCCTGAAATTCCTGGCTAAGCTCCCTGTATTTCTGATTGCTCAAAGCCTTCAACGGCGATGTGTAAATGACTCGCTGCTTGTCTCTGAAGGCCATGGCAATCGCGTACTCGGCAACCGCAGTCTTGCCAGCAGACGTGTGAGCTGACACCAGCACCGACTCTTTCCGCTCCAAACATGCAACCGAGGTTTCCTGAAAGGCATCCAGCTTGAATGGGTACGTTTTAGCCCTGGATCCTGTGTACACTGGATTATGTATGGTACCATGAATCTGCTCACTCAGAGAAGCTTCAAAGCCAGGAGGAATGGCCACTTCGTGAACACAAGCCACATTCGTAGTCCGTCTCTTGGTCTCTTGTATCTCCTCTTTCACAACGACCATCAATTCCTCGGCCTTCCTCTTCAAGGACGCCTTCTCCGCAGGTGGCACATTCTCAGCCATACCTGCCGCACTCGGAGGATTGCAATGCGCAATCAACTTCTCAGGTGGTGCTAAACATGAACCCCGACTGCTGAAGCGTACACGAGCCCTCACCGAGAACAACCACGACCCCTGTCGACAGCATGGAAGATCCGACACGCAAGATTGCGGAGTGGCCGATGAAAAAAACACCCAAGAACGCAGTCCTACAGTCAGCACCAACACGAGTACCGAGCCCTCAAAACTCTGCAGCCACCGCCTTATTTCGAATCCAATGTCGCGCCTGCAAAATCCACTGACAGACCTTCCTTCCTTCCCTCCGACGACAGATTTCACTCCCTCCCTCTTCCCTCGCTCGCTCGCTCGAGCACGCACGTGCACTCCGAGCAACTCAACGGGTTACCAAGTGTGCAGCACGGTACGAAAGAGACGTGAACGGAACCACACGTACAATGTTACGAGCTCGGTCACCCGGTGGGCCCGCGCCCTACCCTAAAAGGCCTTCAGCTCGCCATGACCTTTTCGAAAGTTCTTGCTCCGCGTCGCGCGCCAACCGCAGAGCCGACTGCCGGTTCCGGTCGACCCCTCGAGATCCCGCTCCTCCCCCACTGCTGCTGCTCCTGCCGGAACGCGTACCCTACCGCATTACGTTCTGTCTGTCACTCCCTTCCCGCGGCGCCAATCTCTCCCGCCTCGAACGTCCGGCCTCCGTCGCTGCGGTCGTCCGAGCCTTAATTTCGGGGCGGCGATTTGCCCCGTGCATTCGAGATTCGCCATTCGATGGCCGTCTCGATCGTCATCATCGTTTGCAGCTTCTTCGGATGCGGCCCGAGTCAGTACTTTGCGTCTGACGAGGCTGGAAAGAGATTCATGAGCGGCGTCAAGAAGCATGATTTCTTGTGGCAGCTCCTCTTTTTCTGTCAGAGCGATTTTGTAGGACAGCCTTGATTGCGATGTCCTTATGTACATACAGGCGCACGAGCATACATTTGTTGGACTCGCTGTTTGCGCCGGTTTTGGCGATGTCGAAAGTCTGCTCTCTTGCTTATGGTGCAGGACTGTGCCTGGAGACAGTAACCGGATGCCCGTCATTGCCGAGCCAGAACCTGTCACCCAAACAGGCCTTCCTTTCACAAGAGATATGTATTGCTCCGGATGAAATGAGGGTTTTCAGGGAATGTCTTCATGACCATGACATCATGATGGCATCGCGATTCTTTTCTCCGCCGTATCGCAGTCACATGCCCGGAAGTCTCTCTGAACCTGGTCTTCAGCGGAACTACGATTGAGCTAATTGAACTTCTGGAAGTAGATGAGGAACCTTGACTTGGTGCAAATCTGGCGCCTTTTCAAGATTCGAGACTTGTGTAGCGGCCCCTCTAGATATCCATGGAAGCCATTCCGCATCTGCACTGCTGCCTGACGCGCTCACTGCCCATAAAATCGCCAAGAGACTTCTCTCAGAACCAAGAGGCACCGCCACTCCCGTTCGCTTCCGAATTATGGGGAGTGTCTACGAGAGAGAGGCATGTGATCGCAGGCACACGAGCGAGCGTGCTGTGGAGAGCAGATTCACCGAAACAAAATATCGCCACCAGTCTCTCATTCTTTTCCAGAGATGTTCTAGACTCTGAACCTCGACAGCATTGGCCTTGCCTGTGAGCCGACAACGGAGGGGTCCTTCTTGTCTTGCGTGACTTGAAGAGCAAAGTTGGTTCAGTTTATGAGCTTCCACGAGGAATTTGCACCGTTCTTGGACACAGAGGAGCTTTGGATCATCTGCGTGCTCCTGTTTTTTTCGTTGTGTTTGATACTCGAAGAAATCATTTATCAACATCGTCATCCCCTCTGCTTGATCTGCCTTCTGGAGGGCCTCCTTTATCAGAAACTTTACGATCCCCTGTGCGTTGTTTTGGAAGAATACATTTACCTTCCCCTTTGTCTGATCATGGAAGAACTATTCGAGGCTTGCTATGATCCCTTGGGGGTCATGTTTCAGTAGGAGGAGTGAAAGTAGTAGTGCGCTCTGTCCTCCAAATGACTTTTCGGCACGAATGGTTTCGGAATTTAGTGAAAACGCCGCGAGCGAACTTTTGTCCCGTTTGAGGTCGACCTGATTTCAACGGTGGGGAAAGTTCGAGTTCTTATGAAATTACACGAAAGTCTGGGAGGCGTGCCATATCAAGTCAGATCCGAGCTTCTGCGTGAATCGAAGTAAACGATTCCTCGCTCATCGTTCGCGAGCTGGCTGGCTGATTCTCCATTTTCTACTGCAGAAAGAGAGCGCTTGCGTGACGGCAGTCCTGTCATGCAATGTAGCGAGGCTCTTTGTCAAGGGAGTACAATATCCTGCCTCATCATATCATCAGGTGGCATCGTCAATGCCTTGTTGAAGAATTAGATACCTCTTTCTCCATGAGAATGGATAAGGTACAAGCCCAATCCGACAATCCTTGCGGTATAAATTTGAATTGAATAGTACACTCTCCTACGGCAGGCTTGAGAGGAATTTACAATAGAAAGCCTTCTCGATCAAGACAGACCAAAACTCCACAGCTCTTGAATTATGGAAGTCAACGTGAAGAGAGCGAACTATTCACGCACATGTCTAGGTTCCAGCCATTTCAATTTTAAGATTTCTCAGACGGTAAAAGAGTGGCGCCTTCCGCAACTCGTGACAAGAAATTTCAGCACCAATCTGAAAGGATATGTGCGAATTTTCTGCCGTCTGTTGTAGAGTCGTCATATGCCATATTCCCTCAAAATTGCCGTAGTTGCATGTAGATGACCTGTTTTGGTTGTTTCCTCGGGAATGCAGATGGCTGCAATGCCTGTGAAGTACCGTAATACGAGAGTGCAGTCCTCGATGGCGCAAATGTTCTCATCTATATACAAGATTTTGCGGCTAGCTTTCGTCTGCTCGTTCCTGCTGTTGTTCGTGCTTGTAATTTTGATCTACAGCTTTAACCATGCTCTGATTCCAAATCACGGAGCGGGACGAAATGGCACCATGCATTCGCCATTACAAACCCTTCTTACCAAAGAGCAAACGATGCAAGAAGAATTGAGGTACTGTACCTTGCACAGTAGCTTTCACCAGATCTACTGAGATCAACTGAAATTCTAACCGGAATACGAAACTCAACTGTTGCCCGTCATGTCAGAAAACTGGAAATCTCATTTGCAGAACCATGCTCTGCAGCCCTGAAACTTGAGACATAAGAAGCCAGTGAACTTAGGATTCGCGTAAGATGCGCCACTTGAAGTATAGTGAGACGCAGACCGTATTAGGTTTGACACTTTGCCCAAGTGCCATTAGTAGACAAGCGCTTGGATTCAGGCACCAATAGTTCTGCCTCAAGAAGCGAGTCTGCTGCTCAATTTGCTAATTCGAACTCGTCTTACGTCAAGTAAACAGGGAAAGCGACTCTGAGATGCTAAAGAGGATCAACGATCGATCAACTTTGGAGGTTAAGATTCTGGTAATAGCGGAGACGGTTGCCCCGTATGAAGACCGGGAGAAGCTGGAAACGTACATTTCAAAGCAATTGGAATCTTCCGATGTTGTCAGCAAGGTTCAGGCTTCCGCCCTGCTGTCGATGGTGAATTTAGCTCCTATGGAGGCTAGCCTGTCGAGAGAAGAGACTGGTCTGATGGGAAGCTTACGAAACTCTGCCCTGCTGGCCCTCATCAAGAGAGATCGCAACAACGTCCACTTCATGATGGTCGGAGTTAGAGCAGAACCTCGACTGGGCTGGAGAAGGATCTCAGCAAAGGAAAGAAACTCGTGGAATAGCGTGTTGTCGAGAGCCATAATGAACAAAGTCCGAATGGAGGCCCAGAATTACTTGTGGCAGCGGACGATGGATGACGTCCAAGATGTCGTCAAGCTAGACGTTAGAGACGAACTGGCATGGCAGTCGCTCTTACCGGACAGTGTTGAGCCTGCTGACAAATGACTGACAGTAGACATCCCTTTCGCAGCAGCTGTATAAATCAGCATCGAAAGGCTTCCAGAATCTTTTGATCTTTGCAAATTGGGCTCGAAGTCCTGTGCAGTTCTTCTAGCTACCGAATTTATTGGTTCGTCGGCCGATCTATTCATATGTATAGTACAAATTTGGCATCATCAGATCTCTTTGGTGTACTGTATGATGCTTGTGCATCTCTCAAAGGGTAGAGCTTTCTGACACTTGTAAAATTGTACATTCATTCCTTTGTTCCTCATGTCTGCTATCGCTTGGAATGTTAAGTGTTTCGCCTATGACACCAGAATGTCCCTCACTCGAGTCCTGTTCGGGCATTCGGCAAATGACGCAAGTTAGACTCTTTAACTTGTGGCTGCGCAGGCCCTCGTGAACATGAGCATGATATTGTACTGTTCGATCGCTTAAAAAGACCTGTCGTGTTCATCCTTCTCCCTAAGTTCTCACATGCTGTTCTTCTCCGCAGATTTGTTGATTTGTACCTCTAATGCCAGATTAGTTCTTACGGGGAGTATCATGAAACCAGATCCCGATGGATAAAATTCACTCCTCTGATACTCGTTCATGAACTGGTTTGAACAAAATGACCATGTGTGGTAGCTAGATAATGAAGACCAATTGTTATACGCGATGAACGCCAGCGGATTGTGATCATGTGATGTACTGAACAAAAGTGCATATAATGGAACTGGAAGGACGTTCGGAGGGCCTTTCTTACATGACCAGCGTGTTATATGTCATATAATCAAACTTACACGCACTCAATCTATACCAAGACACTTAAGTGGGCCTGACACTGCTCTCCCTCGTCTCTAATGCCGCGCCCCACGATAGAATGGGAAAAATTCACCCGGAGGGAACCTCGCAACAAAAACACTTTCCTGCACTAGAACTAGTCAGCTTTGCTCTCATATTCAAATCTCCATTTTCTGAGGGATCCGATTTTATCTCTCGTTACAATGCTCCCAAACAGATGGATATCTTCACCCGATCCCAGCACGCAGACAGAGAGACAACAATGATAAAGCAGGTAACCTGAGCAGATCTTCGGGAAGATTACTGACGAACTCAGCTACTGACCATGACGACGTGTTCAAATCCACATGAAACCAAACATATTTAACCCTTATTTCAACTCCAGGCAGAGAACAAACACACCAGATCAGTCCACAATGTTCATCTCACCAGAAAGCCGATGTCCATGCTGGTGAGACTCAATACATGGTTATGAATTGGGGTGAGTCCTTGAGATTTTTGCAAACTCAGGAGTGTAACTGTTAAACTGTACAAATGGCACGTTCGTTTTAACGGGCCTAGCCAGTAATTATCTGAGTCCCATCGAAGGGCTCTACACAATCCCTACACTTAGTGTTCCTTCTCTTCCTTCTTCGAAGAACCAGAAAGTAGCCAATATGCGGCAGCTGCAGCAATCACTCCTGCAACAACGGCAGTGTTGCGGTAGCTGCCTTCTTGTGTCGCAGCTGGAGTCTCAGCCTTGGCTGGTGTGACGGGACTGACTGGTGGAGGAGTTGCATCTGTGAGCCCCTGCAGCAAAACCAAAATCGTCAGTAACAGTCTCCATTGCCTCGTAGGCCACGACAGTACGTCCTTCACAAGCCTCCTCGATGGGACATGAGAAACTCTTTGGGTCGTGATCTGCTGTGAGCTCATAAACTACGTGAATGGCTCATTCTAGACGTTACGGGCATAAGACAACTTTGACCTATGAGTGTCATTTGTACGCAGGAACCTACCGTAGAGGTTTAAAGCATCACAAGGAAAAGGACTGCAGATTTGGGGCAAGTACGAACTGAAAACAGATATCATCTATTGCTTTCACCTCGTGAAGAGTTCTCTTGCGGCATTCACCAGACCAGTTTTACTACGTCCCGTTGCTCAAGTAATACAAGATACTCTCTGAGGTAACTAAGTTTCACTGATGTAACTATAAAACAGATCTGACATAAGCATTTGGTCTTGATGCAGATCAAAAGAGAGAAGACGTGTAGTCACCTTGCGTGCGTGCTTCTCAGCCTGCTCTTGCTCCTTTCTCTGAAACGACAGGGGACCAGAAAAGGTTAGTACTTCAAGCTAGAACAAACGAAAGGGTAAACCCAGGAAATATTGTCACCAGAAAACTAGATAGTAGACAGAACTCGTGGCTGCACTCCTTCAACCTACCTAGTATAAATTCTCAATCTTCGACCATCAACGCTGAAAATTTAGCCCTCATAGCACGAAAAGGTTTCCATCATTTCAGAGTTTCAGTCAAGAGCGCGGAAATTCACTGGTTATTCACTAGTTAGATTCACTGTCACGGTAAAACATTACAAATACGTAGTTACTACTGACAAAAAACCAGAGATGCAGCTTCAATGACAGGGAGGAGGAAATCAGTACTCCATCTAATGGAGGAGATCTGGGGCTTTGGGGCTTTGGGGCTCTGGGGCTTCGTGATACCATTTTGCAAGAGCTAGGAAAGCAGGTGACAAGTGTTTTAGCGACTTCAGTGGGAACAGATAAAAAAGTTAACAAGTCTTTGTACCTCCTAGATGCTGCTGATATGCTCCATAAATGATCTACCTTGTTCAAAGCCGGAATGGCCCCGGTAATACAGTTTTCTATCACTAAATTGAATCGATGAGCAAAAGAATGGGTAGTTTTACGCGAAGAGAATTTAAGGGGTGACGTTACACAGAGAAGAAGATCGAAAAAAATTTCAGTAGAAATGTAATTCCTTCACAGTCCAGCACAAAGAGTATCATCCAACAAACATCAGGGTAACCACTACACCCTTTGTCCCTCTTCGCGGATGAGAATGGCCTGTAACAATTATTAGACATCCGGCAATGAACAAGTAAGAAGTTACACCGATCAACACCGATTTACAACTTTGTGGAACATCCTTCCAGTCTATACGACACCTGGGAAGGTCAACATGCAACTTAACATAGACCTATACTGCTGTCAAAATGCCAGAAATTCAACACAGACGAACCCAACCAAGAGAAGCCAACACCCGTGCAATGGTGCAAACTCAGCCCCACAAATAATCACACCCGAGAATGTACCTCCGCGTGTGCGGCATCGGACGGATCAAGTGCACAAAATACCAGGGAGAAAACAGAAGCTTCACTGGATATAAGCTGACGGTATTACCGGCATGGCACACACGGCGGAGACTGAGAATCACAGAAGTTAAATCGACATATGTCGACGCTAGCTCCGGAGCAGGCGCAATCCAGTCAAGTACAGACTGCGCGAGGCATCGATGCACGATCTAGAAGCGATAGAACCAGGAAATCTCGTAACTCTAGTCTAAATTCCAAAATGAGACAAGTGGCGGGCGGCTCACCCTGATGTAAATGTTTTCGGCGGCCTTCTCCTCCTCGCTGAGAATATTCTTGTCGCTGCGAAATCTGGTCTGACGCATGCTGGATCGCAGCGAGCTGCTCTCGACCTGGGCGACGAAGCGCCGGGCCATAACTCTCATCGCCATCGTTCCCCGCTGCTTTTGCTTCTGCTGCTGCTACTGCTGCTGCGACTGCGCTGCGTCTCTCGATGATCTCTCGATGCCGATGATCAACCCTCAAAACTCTTGTGCTTCGTCTTCCTCGCTCGGCTGGGCGCCTCTTCAAGCCTTCTCGCGTGCAACTGTGCCCTCGATGATGACTGTGGAAGTGGGACGGAGACAGCTTCAGTGTATTAGATCGACTGACGACGACGCGCGAGATGCCACTGAAGCGTCAGCGGCTCGATCCTTCGATCGATTTGTTCGTCTCCCTCCCTCCCCTCTGCTGACTCGGCGTCGCTCTGTACGTGCCACGTTATCCCTGGGCTGACTGGGCACTCTGCTCACTGCTGCGGGTGGAGTTCGGTTCTCCTTCCACATCCAAAAGCCGAATGATTACCAGCGGAATCAATCCATGCCGTCGACCGTTGAGGCACTGGACGGCAGAGCCCAACATTGGGTGCCCATACCCATGCCCACGGGTTTTGGGTGGGTTTTGGATGACATTATTTTTCCATGGATGGGCACAAGTAATGCTATGGGCAGTGTTTGTGAGATCCAAACAAGAATTGGTATAACCGGGTAATACATATAACACAGTTGGCGTAATTTGAATAGCATGGGTGGGGATGGATGGGAAAAGATAATGCTATGGGTGGGTATAGGTCGCTGTTGATGGTTATGGTCTGGTCTGGGTACAGATTTGAAGTAACATGTTGGCCTCTGCTGGACGGTGTCGAGTATTTGCCACAGAATACAAGCATTTACCTCCCAAATGCTTGTATTGTGCCTTTAGAAAGACTTGATATAATAGCAAAACGATTTTCAAATTCTGGAATAAATATATCAATAATATGGACTCGAATACCAGATCTTCGTCTCTAATTTTCTCCATGTATGGTACGTATGAAGACCAGTGTCTTCCGGTTATTGCCAACTTAAGCTTAAGCTTCTGAAAAGGTCAGGGCACAAAAGGGAGCAGAAACTGATTAAGTTACATGGCAAGTTACTTGTTGGGAATTGCCCTTTGTGGGTGAGGCCCCGCTCTCCTTGTACTCCAAGAGAAGGAATCCAGAACAGAGACGGTAGCCGAATGAAGGGGATGGAGGGTAGTTTGGATCGATTCTTGTCATAATAATACATCCGCTTAAAGAAGGGTTGTGTCTGCGCAGGAATGATGATTCCGGCTTCTGGGTTAGAGAGGTGGTTGTATTTAAGAAACGCGGTGATGAGACTTTTGTTTCTACATTTAACCCTTTGCTTTGGTTCACTTAATTGAGACAAGTCGTGAATATTTTCACGCACTGGTTTGTAAGGAAAATTCCATTCAAAATCTCAAAATATATTTCATCAGAAACTAGCAAATAGACTCGATGAACAAAGGTTAAAATACTTATTTTTAAAGTTTCAACAGGATGAATATATATGAAAAAAAAGAGTTTCATTTAATTTTTATTAAACTAAAAAATGCATGGGATGGAACCACACATCAATGCTTATATCACGACATGCCTAACTATGAAAAATACTATAAAACTTATAATAATTCAGCCTAGTATTCAATAGTACATTCATCTTATGTACATCTATAGATGTTAGATCTTACTCACACACATGACGAAAACTTATTATGTTTATGCAACCATCCATCCATTGAGCAATTTTGCAACTCTAGACACGATATAGCATTAAAGTGATTAAGCACATGGTGAGAAAAGAAAAATTACAGCTCACACCATCTCAAATGGGTGGAGGAAACTAATCATACAGCAAAATGAAAACATTCCTTGCACATTGCAACAAATCTGATCTCCAATGCACGTGCTTCATGCCCGTAAGCTTCTCGACTAGTTATTGCGATTAGAAAACACTTGCAAGAAGTATTCCAGATCAAAGCATAATTGAAGGATTAAAACACCAAATTCACATAACTTTCAGAGTAATTTTCAGCACATGCCACTGAATCTCTACACATAAAATACAGTTCACTGATCGAAAAAACTTTGGAAAAATGGATGGACATTGGGAGCCATAGCTGCCATAACTGCCAGCGCAAGATCCTTGATCCATGCAACTGTCATCAATATGTTTTGCACATACAAGTATAACCAAATGTAAAGCTGAAGTCCATCATTATGACACAAAACTTCCATTGAACCGCTTTAGCCTTACAACTCCAAGCAGTCTTGCAAGACTTGTCCCAGTTCACTAGTCCCATACGTCCACCAACTGCCATTGCACTACAATCGCAGTTGAATACTCTCACCTTGTGGTATGACTCCTGCAGATTTACTGTGAATGTTTACTAGTCCCGTAGGTCAATCAGATGCAGATGATAGTATTTAATGCATTGGTACTACGACATACCAACTTAAACGTCATTTAATACTGGTGATGCATTGTTGAATGACAACTCATTAAGCTGCATGAAGTAGCAGTACAAAGGCTGGAGTATGAACATATGATGATCTGGACTATTTTCCAAATTATATAATCTATATACACTGTAGATGCACATGGCAAGACCAAGCACAAGTTATCAATATGGGCCTCGCGGCTCTGACAGAAACTAAAAGGTGGATATTTTTAGTCGTAAAAAAAATGCAGAATTACAAACGTGTATGTTCAACTCAAGTTCGATCACAATGCTTGATACTTCTTGCTAAACTACAACTAAAGAGGTCCTCGAAATTTGCCTCAGTCTTTTGAATAAAGTGTGAAACCTGTACAACAGCGTATGTATTTCCCCATTCCTCATTTGTGAAAAAAGCTGTCAAACTACTGCTGTCAAATGCGTAGCAGTATATTTGCTCCTGTATAAACTTCTTGTCTTCGGCATGTATAGGAATGCATCCGTCTCATTCTGCTCACGGAAAATAAACTGCTCCGTTTCTTAACACTGTTCCACTAGTAGTCTTTCGCCCAGGTGACTCCCATTTTTTGTCTCAAGCAGTAAGAGTCCTTCAGTGTGATCTGTCCAAAAGAAGAGGACGTTAGACAGTCCCGCACAAGGGCATCCAAAAAGGGTGACCCTAGTAAGCTCCAGAATACTGGAAACCCATTGCGATGAACTAATAAAAAAAATTTCATAAAAGGAAAAGATACAGAAAGACTTAAGACGTTGGAAAAGAAGTACAACCAGAGATCGCCGTCCAAGACAAGGTTTGAGGCACATTCATGTCGGACTCCACGGTCAACTTTGCAGCAGCCACTCCATACGCTAATGCTCGAAACGTTGTGATATTGTTGGACAATGCTGCCAAAGTCCCAGCGACGAGAGAATCTCCAGCACCACTGAGTTTCACAACTGATGCTTGCAATGCAGGAATGTGAAGACACGAAATCTCCCCAGCAAGGTCCATTGAGCACCACACAGCCCCTAAACTACCTACTGTGAGGATAATGTACATCACACCAGCGTGCAGAAGCTTTCTGATGCAATCCTTCAATTTGTAGATCACGGTATAAACATTGTTCCGAGACATTTCATCCCCTATTGTAACCACGTACATTGACCCTCTCCTCTTTTCACTTGAAAATTGCGTCGGATGAAGAGCATTGGCCATGGCAACCAACTCTGCCTCGTTGGGTGAAATATACGACATCTGTTCGGCAGAACAATACAGCATGAGGTATGAGAAAAACTTCAAGGTCCTAATTAGAACTCCCCCTGATATGAAACTTGACACAATATATGATATCAAAGGATGTACTCACAGACGAAAGACAACCGGTTGCTCTCACAGACTTTGCCACTGATACGGGTTCAAACCAAACTGGAACATCAGCATCGCTTGCCACTGTGAAACATGGTCAGGGAAAATGCAAATAATTGCAGTTATCAGTTAAATAGCTGAGATCCTACCAGTTCAGACCAAGGTAGGGGTCATAAACAGGTACCATCCAATAAAACAGATCAAAATCTTGGAGTGGAAAAGATATTGCTAAAACCTACTCTAATATGTGTCAGCAAGGTGAAGGTACATACTAGAGGCATAAAAAAAGGGCTTACCTTCACAGGCTAGCTTGATAACCAAAGGGTCTAAGTTAGCATCGACGAGAAGAACTGAAGCACGCTGGATTTCTCCGGTAAATTTAACAATCCATTCCTCTGTCAAGTAATCCTCCTGCACAGAATACGGACAAATTTCGTTGAGTACGCTCTTCGTTAAGTATAACTGACTACTACCTCATTGATCCTGAAACACGAGAAAGACAGGTAGTACATCCTTATGCAGACCTTCCATCTGACATTGAAACAAGATTGTTTTAAGAAAGATACATATACTTACTTGTCCTACCAGTCCTGAGTCAGGAATAAAGATCATAGGAAGTTTCAACTTGGTCAGAGATTTAAAATTAAACCTAACAAGCTAATAATACATCAGAGATCAGCAAACCTGAGCGCAAACGGATGCGTGGCGTGAAGCTATAAACTTACAACTGCACGTGTGTCTGCCACAGCAGCTGCCAACTCTCCGGTCCGATCAAACACAGCCGAGATGACCGGCGTAGAAATACCAACGCATACCCGTATACCTGGCAATTGGCACACCAAAACATTGACGGAACCAACTCATCAAAGACAAGGCTGAAGTATGCGACTCAGATTTCTTCAGATTGTGTGGTCAGAGTGAGAAGAAGCAGTGACCGAATTAGAGCTGGCCTAATCATAATCATATTGATATACCTTGGTCTGTGAGGCAACTTACCGTTCACCGGAAGACCAAGAGATCGCCAATGATCTATTAACAAGTTTCCTGCGGATCCCAAGGCAGCCAACTTAATATGACAGTTCAGCAGATGATGAAATAACATCAATCACTACTCTCCTATAGACAGATGTGGATCTAAAGTGTGACCTGCATGTACAGGAAGACAACTCGCAAAGATTCCATGTTCATTAGCACATAACACAGGAGGTGAAGTAAGAAATTAAACCTGCAAAATCATCTCCGACCACACTTATCAAGAAGGGTTCTGTGCCTAGCTTAGCCATACATTCAGCGATATTTCTCCCAACGCCGCCTCTGACATAGCAAACCTGCAAGTCGCTCCATCAGACCTGCCAATAACTTGTTGCGTGAGGAGATACAAAGTTTGACGTCGTTTCACTCGACCTTGTTCCCAAGGTGCAACGAGATTCATGACATTATCTGAACGTGCAATTATTATCCAACTTTCAAGTTAACATTGTAAGAATTTCTTACAGAATAGTCACAGTAACAGAAGAGGGAGAAACAATGCCCAAAATGTCCGTATGCAGTGTGTATGGTAGAATAAGAGTAGCGACACGACGTTTAAAAAACCTCTAAAGGGTGAAATGAGCACGGAGATGCTACCTCACCAGGAGTCGTGGTCCCAGGTTGAATGTCATGCCTCACGGGAGTCGCCTGGATATCCAGAACCATTCCACCAATCACAACAGGGCGTGCTTTTCTACTGGAGCAAGTACTCTCTCCCACCTGTAACAGCAAACAGCTTAGGAACTTGGCTATGCTTGGCCCCCTGTCTGATGCTAAAGCCATTCGTCAGAAATGCGAAAACTTCCTATGAGAGAAACAAAGAAAATTCAAACAGTTGCTTCAGTGAAGTACATTCATGGTAATTGATAGAAGGAAATTCCTTCTATCGTTTGAAAAAAGCTGAAGCAAATGGATTTTTCGAATAACTTCAACAGAAGAACTCGTCTGCTAAATTACCGAAACTGGATGTAGTTTACACATACTCTGAGTCATGAAAAGCCTCAACGCCAGTATGTAATCTATGTTCTGTAAAGCATCAAGGATGACATTCTTCAAAAATCTGCTGAGGCAGAACCAGCACCTTCAGTTGAAAGGAAATTGCTGATGGACATTCCAGATGGCGGGCGATCCCATTCAGACGACGCACATGTGCCATTTTCGCCGATTTCACTGCACGCGAAGCTTCAATGTGAATCAAGGCTCTTTCTTCGCAGAATCTAAACCTCCACACCTCGGATTTCAGTTCGCCGTAGCACACTCTTCACCCACCCAGTTCATCCAGCCTTCAGGCAGCTCGATCACACCCCCAGCTCCAACATCAGATTTGCGCCATGTTCGCTGCCCACTAATCGGAGAAGCCTTCGCACTAATGCATGTGGGCCCAGGAACCGCTTGCATACTCTCAAGGTTTGGTTGCAAGAGCATACTGATCCTACTCATCGTATAGTCATGGATGGACTCATGGCCTCTTTATATCACTGAGATTTTGTTACAATGTCTACTTCAATGCTCCTGTTATCAACAATTGATATGGAATTGAATGAATAAATATACATGACCATGTTCAATTCCCGCAAAATATTAAGTTTTAAGCAATTCCCGAAATTATGACTTATTTAAACCTAATAAATAAAGAAAATTTCATGATCATTAGTACAGCATCTTACTTAATGAATATGTGAAATTTTTTAAATTTTTAAAAACTAAAAAACTGAATTTTAAATTTGTATCGTTATCAATATTATTAATTTCATTTGAAAATTTTGCAACCGAACTTTGGGAAATTAGAATTACTGTTTATATGTTTTCTTATTTTTATTTAATGCCTTCAAAAAATTGAGTGTAAAATTCTTAATACAATTTGTAACTCTAGGCTTCTGAAATTTTATTTCAAAAATATTTAGATGTAAAAAATAAAATTTATTGTAATGTCATAGCTTTGATCAAATTGTTTACTGACATATCTAAACATCCAAGATAAACTTACAGTAGTTGTATTAAGTAAATTCATCTATACAAAAAAACTGATTGTAAATATGTTAAATTGTACCAATATATTTATTTTAGAATCATGACTGTAACCATTAATTTCAAACTACTACTTTACGTTCAAAATACATTCGTATTTTGTGATTAAAAGTGATTAAAAGTTTAAAACTTTTGATAAATTTAAAAATTTAAGAACTCAAAATATGGAACCATTATATAATTTCATTACCCATCTCTTAGAAATACATGGAATAAATTTTTTAATCGTCTTGTGATTTGATTTCTGCGATTTTCAAGAAGTAGTAATATTGCTCATTCAATCTCAAATGTAGGACAAATAGAATCTCCCCAGAACAAAAAAAGAAATATACGTCTAAACTACTCTCTTGTGTCTCCCACTGCTCAAGCTTTGCGTTTCATCTTTTGATCAGAAGAAGGAATCTCCTTTGAAAACCTTCATTGCAAATTATTCTGTCCTTCACCATCTTCCTCCCTACCAAGTCCGAGAGAGTCAAGAATCGGATTAAGACACACAATGCAATAGAGTGAGCTGGGAGACACAGGCTTTTCCATAGGCTGATGACCCCTCCCCCATAACAATTTTGGGTTTGGGGATGACTTTAAGAAGTACGTTAGATAAATGAAATAACGTTGTCAAGCCTAGTGTGATAGCGTGATCTCGGTTATTTACACTACGCTATATGCATTCGGTACTAATCATGGTTATGAAGAAAACAAATGACATTTATCCCTAAACGAAACTGAACTTTGTGAATTATATACCGCTACAATTGAAGAGGTATAATAATTCAAGCAATATCTACAGAAATAATATTGAAGATTAATATTATATAACTTAATAATAAAACTTCACCGAGCAACTTCCAAATCCACATTACCAACCAACCTGGGGCCAAAATTAAAGGTGAGCTAATCACTATAGTTTCAAACTTTCTAGCAACCGTATGAAAAAAATCACCAGGGAGGGAGAGAGATACATGAACACCGTACAAAGACATTTGACATACCTCTTAACTCCTGTAATTAAGGTATAGAACTAGCAATTCAGAAATTTTGTTAATTTTCATGTTCTAGTCAAAAGCAGAAGAAACACCAAAGTTGGGGACTTGATCAATACTCTCAGATGATTAAGCTTTTGATTTTTAAGTTTCAGTCACTAGATCTCACACCTGTGTCAAGTATCCCCGAGCACCCAAGATCGGCCATCGTGAAGAGTTGAAGAGATAACCAGCTTCATGCAATAAATTACCAAGTGCGCATGATACATAAATGCTAAGCGATGCAGGCTTGACATTCACCGATGTTACAAAACCATGGCACGATTTCATTTGCATGCCCATAGAGAATCATGTGAGTATCTAAATGTAGACAGTATACAAGTTTTAGTTTTTTGTACATCAAATATCTCCAAATTGTAAAGTAACTAGAATTGTTGCTAAATTTGTCACGAACTGTTCAAGACTTGGGTTTGCACCATTGAATATCGCCATAAAGTGATTCTTTTCCTGTCTATGTAGTGCACTAAAATTTGGGGATTCAAGATAAACCATAAACTCTTGAATCTGAGATATGTGTTAAATACTCACTCGTGGTCATTCTCCCTGCGGTGGTACTTTATATAATTAAAACTTTGATGTCAAAACTAACTTGCCATAAGTAGATGGGACAAGTATATTGTTTTATTTTTTTGGGCATTGAAGCAAGGAATGGTGCAAGACCAAATTTTACTATGAAATCAAATTGAGGTATGCTTTTAGCTTTGGAAAACCTATATTCCAACAACTCATGGTAGTTTTGTAAACTTTTCAAACAGTGCCGCAAACGTAGTTTCCAGCTCTGGTTTACTCGTGCAATCCTGAAATTTGGCTAAGACCAGTCAAAGGTCAAATGTAGGCACTTAAAGAAATTTAAAACTTCCACATTTTGCCGTACCCAGAGTGAGAATAAGGAATAGAGTATGGCATGTAAATGTCATCTGTTCTCAATACAATATGTTACGTAGCACCATCCTACCACGTTCTCCCCACAAGAGTGCGTAGGAGCTTACGTGTAGTCAGCATCGATCAACGTAGTAGTATCATAGTTGGGACTCGGGAGGAGAGGGAAAGTCAAAGAGCGCTGACGTCACAGTCGTCAGACGCAGTGGTTCTAGTGCAAAGTGCACGCACACGTTCGGAGCGCACAGGTGTGCGCACGACGTAACCAGGCCCCGTAATACGAAGGATCGCACAGTTCACATGACGTGACGTGGTCGGGGATGACAATTTCAGAGCAATCGGCTGCATCGTTGTACCGAGGAATTGGGGGGCATGGCCCAGAGTTTCCTGTCATCACCGCCCTCACAATTCGGGGGAACGATAAATAGACCGAGGACGGCAGCGGCAGTCGGTCCGCCGCGGGCCATGAGATCCAGTGGAGGCTGGAATGAGAAGCAGGCGAGACGTCGCCTCGCGCTTCTGGGAGCACCCTCGAGGAGTATAAGATGGCGCAGCTGTTTAAATTCGAGAAGTCCACGACGCCAGGAAGCTCTTAGTAGTCGGATGGGCGTTGTCGATCGATTCCATCGATCGTTCGCCCAAAAGCTGCAATTGCAGGAATCCGTAGCGCCGAGCAGGAAGGTGGAATGCCGGACTACGATCCTGGACGAGGAGCTGGACCGATGAGAAGGACTACGGGGTCTGCCGCAGAGGCTAGGCCTCGGCGGTTCGGTCCAGGAGGACTGCCGACCGAAGGCGCGGATCCAGCTCCGAAACCTTGGCCATGGGCTCCATGGGCGGCGCTCGTCATATGCGTGTGCTTTTTGTGTCTCCAGCTTTACCCGGCTACTCATTTCAGACACCCCAGAGATCCAACTCGCACCTGGCAGCGAATCCAGCGGGCTGACGACATTGAGCTAGCTGATGGCGGCGACATTGGGCTCACGCTGGACGAAGTTCGACGTCAGTGGGATCCAGAATTTACTGGCGGAGGAGATTCAAGCTTCAGTCCTCCCGGTCCCACGGAACAGACCGATCGATCGACCACTCGACAGATAGAAAGTACAGACGAGTTGTCGAGCAGCCACAGCAATCACGCTTTCAAGTGGAGAAAGGAGGACCGACAAATTCATGTCTTCATTTCTTCAGACGAGAAGGATCTCAGGCCCCTGGCCGTTGTGATCAATTCAACGCTCAAGAATGCCAGGTAGTCAGTCAGTCAGTCAGTGGAATTTCGATCACGCTTCTCTTGAACTGCTGAACTAATGTCCTGGAGAGGATTTTTGTTTTCCGACTCACGTGCGTCAAGCTCTTCTACTAGTCCTCTTGTAGTTCGGGAATCAGGTTAGTTGTTGGGATGTAGATGTATATGTTGTAATCTGAGACGAATGATAAGCTCAAGTTGAGCACCAACGAACGGTCGATCGATTGTTCGATCGGCGGAAGTTTAGACAAGTAGAGCTTAGTTCCTGTGTTTAGCAAGGAACTATATGCTGAAATTTTGAAGCACCTTCAAAGTTTCACCACTGTCAGCATGATCTGGACACTTGAGTCAGGTTTTCAGTTTATCTTGTCTGAGTATTGTAGGTACTCGTGGATATAATGAGCTGAAGGACGTTCTAGATGACATGCTCCTTCCTTCGTGTTCAGAGATTTACACAGACTGAGATATCTCTCGGTGCAGTGTTTTGAAGCCGATGCACTGCCGCTGAATGAAAGACATTTTGAGGACTCTATGTCTAACTCCCTGTGCGCACCGGCCTCCAGTACAATAAATTACGGGGCGTGGCTGCTCGACTGATGGCTTTTCGCTCTGTGGTAGAGTGCAGGCATCCAGGGCGAATCGTGTTCCACCTAATTATCCCTACGAGTGAGAACAACATTGAGTACTACAAGCTGAAGGCGTTTTTTCCGTCGGCTTCGATTGACGTGTTCAGGTTCCTTCCACAACTTCGGTTCTTCCTTCTATGAATTGATCAATTTCAAGACTCAGTTTCCAATCTGAGGAGTCTCAGAGTAGCTTGGGGTGTCAAGTTAACCAAGGAACGTAGAAATTCCGCACAACTGATGATAGATGGAAAAGTTCGGCGGAGGCCTTCGGTTTATAGGATTCAAGTCAGATGATTATTGACAAGTTTATCGCTGACGAATCTAATGTAGCCGCTCATCTCATTTAGACCTGCTCAATCTGATTCGATAAGCCCAGCATCGCTGCTTCCGATTCCTGTCACAGAGAATGTATGCATAAATTGCTCTGATTCTTAGCGGAGGTGTTTTTCTCACTCAGTTCTCAAATCATGACAGATGATCTGTTCGACTCATTTCTACATACAGTACATCCGCTATAACTACTTCTGACACCATGATTAGCCAGAATTTTGCCAACTGCAACCGAAAATCTTCGGTTGTGCTTTTGTGAAAAAACGTCAAGAACCTCGCGCCGTAAAGTTAGCTCGGTGAAGTTTCAGCCGTTTATGCGATTAGACTTACGGAATACAGCAGGTAAAATGAGTAAATTGAATTAAATAAACTGATTATGCTTGATTCTAACAACCGGTGTATGAGCTCCTCGCTGAGATCTAACTTTCACTACAGAATCTCCCGTAGCCAAGGGGTTTGTTAGTTTTTAAATTCCATGTCGTTGCTCAATCTGTGGGATCTCTTCCTTTCCTCAATTTTGAGCAAATGCATGGAGAAGCATGCTGGAAGCCAGGTATGTGCAGCCAGATTTTATACCTCGTAACATGCCACATCTCTCGTGTCTCGTTTAGAAATAAAGCTAATGATTCCTGATCGTTGTTCGTTCCAGGGGAGTCTTCGATTATGAACATGTGTCACATCTTATCCGCTACCGAAACGACAGTTTCACCAGAGAAGAGCTGACTTCCCCGTACAATTTCATACCATACTATCTGCCTCAGCTCTACGAGAATATCGAATTGATGATATATCTCGACTCGGACGTGGTTGTCAAGGTACGATTTTACGATTTCTGATTTTCGGCCCATGCAGCAGTTAATTCGAAACAGGCATAGAGACGAACGAATTTCATGGGTGAGCAAAGAAGGAGCTCGTTCCTTTCTGAGCTGATGGGTTCATCATCATTCTGACGATGTTTGTTCGCTCAGGGGGATATAGAGGAGCTGTACATGAAAAACCTCCATGGGCATCCAGCGGCCGCAGTCGAGGACTGCTCTCAAGAATTCAGAGGCTACTTCGACTTCGACCAGCTCAACGCCATCCGCGAGAGAGAAGCGGGAAACCAGTGGTTACCTTCGGAACCCTTCGAGGAGCAGACCTGCGTTTTCAACAGAGGCGTTTTGGTCATCAACGCCACACGGTGGTCCGAACTGAACGTCACTGGCGCGATCGAATGGTGGATGGGAGAGTATGACAAGGCAGAGAAACCTCTTTACAGGTACGATTGGGAATGGTTGACCTTTTCAGATAATTCGTGGTGAATTCTGCGTGTGCAGTATTTACCTGGCTAGCTAGCCTTCAGGTACCCACCATAGCCTGCTTCTCGCTGGCCGTGACGACACGACGTCTGGAGAGTTGCTTTCTGAGATTCATTCTCTCTCAATTGTATAGATTCTGCTATATTTTACAGCACACTGCAATGCAGTTCTGTTCAGTCTTCAATGCAGTTCTGTTCAGTCTTCGCAAGGGAAGCAAAGGTTGTATACTCGCGAGCACTTGGACCTCGTTCGAATTTGTCAGTAGAGACTTTTCTGATGCATTTTGTATGATGTGGATGCAGATATGGGCTGTCACAGCCACCGTTCCTGCTGGCACTCTACAAGAATTACGAGAAGTTGGAACATGCATGGAACAATCGGGGGCTTGGTCGTGATAAGCTGAGCAAATTAGAGCAGGAATATTTTGCCGCGCGGTACAAACATAAACCGGATCAAAAACCTTTCTTGTCCTTGGAAAGTGATTTTGCCAAAATTTTGCACTTCAACGGGAAATACAAGCCGTGGAAGAGAGGTCGTACGAGGCTGCCTACGGAGGAGGTTTTATCATTATGCGGAGAAGAGGGGCAAGAATGTTACAAGCTTTGGTGGGAGTATCTCTCCCCGGAAGCCCATAAAGCTTTCGGACTTTCTTCTTCTAGGGAGTAATTCCATCTTCAGTAGAATATGATGGATCTCAGGGATCCAAGGAGATGTATGCCCCCATCCTATAGAGTGTTTCCTGTACATTTGAAATCAGAGGTCTGCACAGGTTTGCAAGTTAGACTTGATTTTCAGCTCGAGTTTATATTTCAGTTTACGAGGTAGACGAGAAACAATGAAGTGACAGGGATCAAATCAACTGCTTGTCCGTCTTATGTCTTATACCGTGCACGGTCAAATTGCCAGCTGAAAATCAGACCATTTGTAATTGTCTTTGTTGGAATTTTGGATTCGATCAAATCTCTTTGACCATCCAATGGTTTACGCTTTAGAAAAATGCCATTGCGAAAAAGGTGTTGCTCGATGTGACACATCCACCACTTCATCTCCTAAAAATGTATGAGTCAAATCTTTCTCAATGTCAATTTTACGCGGAATCCAGCCTCCGACTTAAGTCAAATGATTATCGTTGCGGGAGAGCCCATGTCGATGGTAGCCAAAATAAATTAAAAAATTAAAAAACTTTCGAGCAACTTTTGTAACACATGAACATTTCAGTTTGCTTGTATGATGGTACATTGACAATAGGAACAAAGATGTTTCACCATGAACCTTTTCAGCATCGACAAGATTCCCTCTTCTGCTTGGTCCACCGATATGCGTTGCGGCAAATCTTGATAGAGAGACCTATAATATCTGGTTACGTGTAATGAGCTTTGGTCACTTTGTAGCCCCTATCCATTGTATAGCTTCTTTCGACATTAAGCATATGTAAGACGATAATGAACGACATATCGTACAATTGAATAATTGCGTGTGCTAAACTTCGCTTAAACCATCGAATCATTCTTCTTCGATCCTCAGCTTCAGAGCATCAGGTTGGCGGTTGCATCTAACCTCCTGCTCATGTTTTGACTGCCTTGCCAACCCTTTGGATTTTGCGCATTGACTCCAGTACCTCACAGGTAGGATTGGAGGTACAACGAATTTTCTCGTATTCAAATTGTGCGTTTCAAAGTACGAAGACATGTTCCATGCCCTGGGCATACCTGTGTGTATGTACGATGTATTTTTCTAATAGGTGTATACAATTAAATGTTTGAGTTTATGTAATGTTATATTTTCAAAACAACCATAAATCAGTCTTAAGTATTGATTACGAGTTTAAGGGCGTGTGGTAACCCACTTTTGGTATTTATGCGGAATTTAAAACATTTTTGGAAAACTGTACCATAGCGGCAGTGTAAATAGCGATCGGTACATTTAAATAGAGTGAAACTGGATGATCTCGGAGAATCATCGAGTTGGGCGCAATGTCCGGAACAGGCGCTCGCCTTGAACGATCGACTCTGAAGGAGTTCTCCTTCGGCGCAAGGCGCATAATCCGCCTTAAGCGCTAAAGGAATCCCTCAAAATCTATGCAATTCCCAAACGCCTTGACTTGATTAGGATCTCGTTGGAAAGAGCTTGACGTGCTGTTTCTAACGAGCTCAAGAACGCCCGGAACGGATCAGGACTCAGGGAGTTGTGACGGTCGAAAGATACGAAGACTTTCGCCTACGCATAGGCGAGGGAAGTTCGCCTACGCATAGGCGAAATGAGTTTGACGTCAGCAGGAAGTCCGCCGAGAATTTTGCCTACGCGGAAGGAATGCCGCATATGCATAGGCGGACGGATTTCGCCTGCGCATAGGCACTTCGCCCTCGGCGGGAAATCCGCCTTCGGCCCTAGGAATCCGCCTTCGGGGTTGGAACTTTTACGGCGCCTTCGGCGCCAGCGCATCACGGTTAGGTGAGGACCCAACGGAGTAGCGAATCCGTACGGACGGAACGGACAAGTGCGCTCTCGGCTAGTCGGGACTTCGGAGACAAGAGCGCCGACGGAGAGGCGAGAGAGATGGACAGACTGGACAGAGTCTGTTGACCGCGGTCAACGCCTTCGGCACAGCTGCCTTCGGCGCTGCGCCTACGGCGAGGGACCTACACGGACGTACGTCTTCTGTGCGGAAGGTCAGCGCCTACGCACAGGCGGATGGAGTTCGACGTAGGCGGGAAGTCCGCCGGGAATTCCGCCTACGGAGAAGGGAGTTCGGCTTCGGACCTGCGTGCGGACGAACGCCTGCGGCGGAGCGGGACCAGCCGAGTCGAAGTACGAATGAGTGTAGCGCGTCGGCGAGAAATCCGCCTTCGGCGCTGCACGACCATGGCCGCGGCGTAGTACGCTGGCGGAGTTCAAATTGCCAATTCGAGCGTGTGAGTGAAGGCGCGTCGGCGGAGCGTGAAGCCGCGCGTGAGAGAGAAGGCCGTTATACCTCCAAGCCGGCGCAGCCATCAAGTGATTCGACGTTCACGACCGAGAGCCGACCATGACACCCTGCGAGCGGACAGAGGTTACTACATTCTTGAATTTGCGATTTCAATTCCTTGTGCGAGCTGCGCGCGTCCACCTTCTAGCCGAGAGACGTTATAGACACCACCGCGCAGAGATTTACCCGGTGGCAGAGAGAGAATTGAGTGCGCGACATTTGGAATTGAGAGAGATTAGAGTTTGCAGAGGAAACAGAACCGCGGGCAAGAGGCTCGGGCATAGCAGAGAGAGGTTTGCGCAATCCGATTTCAAGAACGCGATGTCGACGTCGATTAAGCTGCGGATGGTCCCACTTAAGCTTCCGCAGATTGGGTTGCGTGCTTTTCAAGACCGGCTGATTGCGAGGAAACTCGATTTCTTGCTGTGGGGATGGAATTACATGTGCGGAGACATGGTGCGCGAATGGCTGAGCGAGAGACAGCAACCTACGCGCGGATTCCGTCCGCACGTAGATCGTTAGACTGTCCACGATTGGGGACAAGCATTGGGAAGGTGTGCAGGCGAGTACGGGTTCCTCCTATTTGACAGTGAGAGCGTCAAGGTGTTGAAGGCGGAAGAAGCCTCCTTTGTGGAATTGTTCAAGCGGGAGAAGTCCACCAAGAGCGGGTACAGGACCCGAGACTACAGAGATCGTTTCTGCAGAACCGTAGCGATGGCATTGCTGCAACTCTTGCAGCCGCATCGCACTACTTACATCACTTCTTGGCAAGTGTCCTTCGTGGAGCTCACATTGGCCGGAGCTCCAGTTCACTAGTCGCGTATCCTGCATAGGGTAATGCGACAACATGCGTTTGAGGAGCGGGGAGGAACGCTCAATCACCTCTCCCCCTTCTTGATAAACTTTTATCGGTCGATGGGTTGCTTAACCGCGACCCAGCGTATTCAATTTCCGCCATTGACAGTCGACAATCCCGGGAGGTATGTGCGGGATAACGAAGTCGACACCGACAAGGAGGACTCTCCGACTTCCACTCCACCGGGTCAACAGGATGCGGGGATGATAGCAGCACGAGTACCGCGGAAGCGGAGATGGAGAGAGGAACCGGAGAAGGAGCAACATCAAGAATTAGCTGCTCTCACCCGGAAGCGGCCACTGCACGAGATCTGCAGTCGGCCGAAGCAGAAGGCGCGCAGGCTTTGGTTACCTGCCAGCAGCGCGGAAACGGCGACGATCGCCGGAGAGAAGGTAAGTACATCCTCGGAGAAGAATGGGACTGCGCGGACGGCGGAGGGATCAGCGGACCACCCTACGCCCTCGGCGGAGGTGAGACGACCTTCGGGTCAGGAGCAACAGCGTGTGGCACGGATGAATGTGCCGCCTACGCACAGGCAACTCCCTGTGGATAGGCGACTCCTTGCGGACGAAGACTTTCGCCTACGCATAGGCAAGACTCACCCCCGGTGCAACGCAGGAAAGGGAAGGAGCCTTTGGCTCAAGGGCCTTCGGGGCAAGCCTCTTCGGCGGTGAGATTGCCGGGATATGCGCCTTCGGCGCCAGGGCCTTCGGGCCACCGAGTTACGAGTAGAGAGCCGGCGGGAAATCCGCCGGAAAGTGCGCCTTCGGCGGAAGGGCCTTTGGGCCAAGGGACATCGGGCGGGCCGCCTTCAGCACTGCGCCCTCGGCGGAAGCGCCGCCGGGAATTGCGCCTACGCGTAGGCCGGACGCATCCCTGGCGCAGGACCTAATGGTGGAGCGGGACCGATCGAAGGAGCGGGACCTAATGGAGGAGCGGATTGACTGTCCGCAAGGTGAAATTCGTGCGCGCGATGCACAATTGCACTCCGCGCAGGTACATTCCGCACGACTGCCTTCGGCTGTAGATGCCGGCGGCGAGGAGATTAAAGTCGCAGCTGGGCAGGCGGACGATGTGAATTCGGCACGACTGCATTCACCCACCGCCTTGGACATTTTAGCAGGGAGCAGCGAGGCTGCAGGAGCGCCAGCGGCGGCAGAGCACGCAGACATCTCGCAGCCCCGCACAGGTCAGTCGCCGACGAATTCAATGGCGACCGAAATCCTCAATTCGGAGGATGACGAAGAAGGAGTATCAACGGAATCAGTGTCGGGATCGGAATCCACCGAGGAGGAGGAGCAGGAAATGGTAGGCGCGCCGACGGCGGCGCTCTGTGAGCAAGTAGTACCTCTGTTGAGGTACCTGGATCGCAAAGTGGAGAAGTACGCGGACCCTCGCCAGCCTGGGTCCTACGTCGAGCTAGTGAGGAGGTGTGGTACCCCACTATCATGACAGATGACGTTCTGCTCGGGCGACCATGGCTGTATGGCGCACAAGTACGATGTGACTGGCGTAGGCATCGCCTTAAGTTTCCCCATCCTTCGAAGCCGACCAAGATCATCACGGTGCCGTGGAATAAGGTCCGACATGAAGGAGAGACCCCATCGACAAGTGCGGGTTACACATCGGGGGTGGACAGTGATTCGACAGCGCGATCAGATTCCAGTGACACTGAATCCGATTATTTCGTGGGATTCGTTGCTTGCTGTTCGGTGGAAGAAGAAGAAGAGCCGGAAGCTATTCAGCCGGAGGACGAATAGCAATTAACGGTAGGACTGGGAAGGAGTGAGACGAGTCACACCGAGGGCATTGTCGACCCTAGTGACTGTCACGAAGTACAACTCAGTCCCGACAAGTGCTTGAAGGTATCAAGCACAGTGAGAGGAGACGAGCTAAGGGAGGTACAGACATTCTTTAGCCATTATGTCGACGTCTTTGCCTGGAAGATCAAAGACATGAAGGGGATACCTGCACGGTATGGGGAACACCGTATTGATTTACTGGACGAAGCAGTACCCATACGTCAGCGCCAGTATCGCCTCAACCCAAAATACTCCTTGCTAGTTAAGGAGGAGATAGATAAGTACCTGAGCGCTG